TCAATTGTTTGCCACTAAGTTCAAAACATGGGTGTATTAGCCCTGCATGCATTTTAAAGTACAGGATGCAATTAACGGGTATACAAAAAGACCATCGTCCACCACAGCCAAAGTTCAGCGTCTGGAATAATTGCACTCTTAGCAGCAGCAAGCACTGCTGATCACTAATTACGCTTGTTTCTATTATTCTCCAATGAATTCAGCTAGAGCCCTAATAATAAATACAAAAGATGAAATAAAAAGAATGACTGTAGAAAGGTAATATAGGTGCTGTGGGTGCATTAGCATTAGACAATAACATTGCACAGTGCAGACTGTAGACTGCCAGATACAGTATAATACATACAATATACTTAGGAAAGCATATACCGCATAAAAAAAAAAGTTTATGCACAGTTATCATATGAGCAGTTATTGCAAATATAGTATACTGCACAGTGATTGACAGGTATTAATGCACATGTGTATTAACTAAAATAAGAGGCGCCTACGTGTATGCTGTCAACACATAATTACGTTTTATAAATAATATCAAGAAGTGTGATTATGGTGCAGAATATTGATTAATAAAGTCTTATTTTCACACAGGTCCATGCACAATGCTATATTATGACCTCATTATGACCCCTTTTACTCTAGTGCATGAGTTGTAAACTAATATCATTTGAAATTTGCATGACATGATTTACTCCATATATGTATATATATATGTATATATATATATATATATATATATATGGCTTTTTTTTTACATTCTCTTTTTTCATTTTTTATATTATTTTTTTACCCCACAGATCTTGTATTAATTTAGTAGCTTTAGATTTTATTTTAAAAAGGGGCAGGTCTTATTTACATCACTATAATATTACACCAGAACTATTTACATCACTATAATATTTACAACACTGTTATGTTAGGTAGTATTCTAATAAAATAAGCTTGTATTACACCGATATTTTAGATGCCAGTTAAATTTTACAATTCCTGATTCCAATTTCAATAAAACAGTATATATATGGCTTTTCCAATGTTGTAAAATTACTCGATAGCTCACCTAGTACAGCATTGCTCTTGATATGCGAAGCACTCGGGTACAATTCCCGTGAAACACAAGTCATGACAAAGAGCATAAGAAAAAACTTTCAGCTCAAAGCAAGCTAAGGTTGCTTCAGCAAATTAATCATGTTTGCAACCTCATGTTTGCTTCTGTTAATACTATCGGTTAGGTTTAATGTAGAGTCTAGTTTAGGTGATATGTTATTTTCAAACATGTTAGAACATTAACCTTTTAGCGTCACTCACCAGACATTCCATTTCCGAACAACACAAAATGTACAAGCAGCATAATAAAAGTTTCACATTCATCTGTTTCAGATAGAACTGAACATGTTTTAGTGCCATTCACTGGACATTTAACTTTAAAGTAATGTAATATTTTGCAGACATCTCATCGCAGACACAGTTTTCCAATGAGCCTAGACTGAATATAACATAACAATGTTTAAATATATGTTTTGCTATAATCATTTAAAAATAGCAAATAAATAATTAAATAAAATCAAGAAAAATGTTCAACTCTAGGTGGAATTACTGTAAAGATGATTAACCTTAATGACTTTCAAGCCTATATGAACTGCACTGATATTCAGCTAATGAGCATCAGTGTACAGTAAGTCAGAGAGATGGAGTGAGAGGACTTCCAAGAAAAAAAATGTCTGATGGCATGTTATCACATTCCCCACAGGCACAACAGAGACGAGGGACTAATCACTTCCCATCACCTGACAATGTTGCACCTGATAAGTGAGGCTGTATCCAGATTGAAGGAAGGGAGAGGTGAGGGATTGTTTGTGTGTGTGTGTGTGTGTGTGTGTTTGAATGCAGCAGTAAAGGCTTTAACCTACTGGTGTAGCCCAGGAGTTTTTTTTTTCTAGACCACAGATGGCATCAGCAGAGAAGGAATGGCTTGGTCTGCCAGAAGCAACTAGTAGTCTGGTTTGCCGCACTGCATTTCTGTTGACCTATGGGCAAGTGAGGATGTGGTTGTCTGACCCATCTCATCCTCATTATGGATCTGTGATTGTTTGCATGGAAAAATGTCTGGAAGACACTTTGAACACATGACTGAACCGCAGTGGCAATATTCAAACAGGACGTTAAAATGTACACAGGCCTTTGCAAATGTATGTGTGTACATACATTAATTTGTTTGCACATTTGTGCATGCCTGTCAGAGAACATCTACGTCTACATCTACATCTACGTTCCAGTGCAATCACGTATCATCGTGCCATTTGCATTGCTTTGTTCGGCAAGCTTGTGTGGGTGTATGTACAAAAGACCACTCATGCATTCACAAACATATATCTAACTGGTTTCTTACCCAGCCTCTTTACGGCACACAGACTTCTGCAGACTCACGGTAAGGTTTTAGTACAGATGGCAAGGTGCATTATCATGCCAGGGAAATGCGAGCAATTGCTCTTTATTGCAGAGCAGATGCTGACTGCATGGAAGTTGTATATTGCTAACGGAATGGTAGATTGCCTCTTTTCATTGATGAAAGAGGAAACATCTGTGGGACGGTATTTATGCAGGCGAGACGTTATATAAAATCACTCTGCCAGAGATAAGAGATTAAGGGCCTATCTGAAGCATGAACAGATGACAACAAAGTCTAATTACAGTTTGGATTAATCTGAGATTTCAAAAAGACGAGTGTAAATCTACTAATTTAAAGGGACTTTTAAAAGAAAACCAAAGGTGAAGTGATGTGATCAGCAAGAGCTCTGCATCAAAGCAGGTGTGACCTCTGTCGTTCATCCATAACTCAGGCTGCGTTTATCTCTTAATAGCGGCTTTTGACCTCTTGATCTGAGAGGCACATGTACTCCCCTCAATCAATGAGTCTGGCTGTAATATTGAGTTTAAAAGGACAGTGCTTTTTAAAAGGATAGTTCACCCCAAAATGAAAAATTGGCGTCGTTATTCACCCATTCTCATTTCACCCCCCCCCCCTCCCCATATTTGTAAAGATGAAGCTGCAATTTAGTAAATTTTAAATATATTAACTAAAGTAGCCTTTATTTATTTTTTTATTATTTTTATTTACATTTTAAGATTTGATGTACACTACAATTCAAATACACTCAATACAATCAATCACAAGAAAATGGTGAGAGTTTGGGGCAGGGCTCTGTGTTTGTCCAACCAATGGAAGACAGTGTGAATGCTCTTGAAACCTTCAGTCATTTTTATATAAAAAAAAAAGTCATTCCTACATTCGATGTGCCATGTGTTTGTGGTTGCATGCCACCAGTAAGGAAACACACCAAAAATATGATTTGTGTCTTCGATTATTTCATGGCAAAAAATGATTCCAGTAATGAATAAAAACTGGTTTGCAATCCCAAACCCTATTTAAATGTGTCAATCTTTTTTTCTCTTGTTCCCCAATATCGAACACGTACAATTTTAAAAGTAATTTTCCACTTAATTCCCAAAGTTAATTTTCCCTTATAGGTGTTTATACAAGCTAATAGTTTATCTTCAAGAATTTAAACAGAATATAACCATTTTCAATCAAGTCTTTCTACTGACTTGGTGATGACAAGTGTTGCACAATTTGATTCAGGACTGCAGGGACAGAGATGTAAGAATGAAGAGAGAAAGAGAGAGATGGACTTTTGCAATATGTGATCCCATCCCCCTCTTGTCTTGCTCTCCATTGAGCAATCAGTGCTGTTAATAGACACCTCTGCTGCACTTTGAGTTTATCTAGAGGAAGATTAATCTATTCACCCCCCACTACACATCCACTGATTGCAGAGTATTATGTGCAGTGAGATTGCATTGTATCATCTAGTTAGTCAGCCCTGGCACAAAACAGACTAATGCACTTAAATATGCAAAAGCATGTTGAGCCACGTTTTGATGTGCTTTGATTACTGATTATCTGTACAGTTGAAAATAAGGGGCACAAGGGCACAGGTATACTAGAAGTTGTATATATTGGTACCAATAATTTGAGTAAATTAATTGTTTAATGAAAACTGCACAACAAGGGATAGTAGTCACTTCGTTGAGGTTTACTAAGTCAACTAACAACAATTGGTCTTAAACACTTCATGAAGGTTAATTAAATAAACTAAAGTAACTAACTGCTAGTAGACTTAAATCGGATTCACAATTACAATGGTATAGTTTTCACAAATTTCCAGCTCCCAGCATGCTTTCCTGTGATTTGTTTGCTCAATGGAAACGGAGTCTATATTATCCATCTATTTTGTAATTGTTTTTTTTTTTTGGGTGGATATGGAAAATGTAATTAGAAGGAAAACAAATATTACATTCAAGTTAAATCATTTTGATATGTATGTATTATTCCAATGAAAGTAACAATAATAACTTTACTTTTCTTGTACATGATTTTCATTATTTTGGGAAAATGTCACATACATTAGAAGAAGGTCAGGGTCCAAGCCAAATTTCATCCATTTTCTTCAGGAGACTTAAGGACTACTGCACCAGTTTGGAGAACATAGTTAATAAAAAGATACAAACAATACTTGTAATATTTTCCACGAATATACAGTTGTGGATTACTGAATAAATGGTTTGCACACTCTTGTACATTAGTCTACTGTTGTATATTTTGTTCTGGTTAATAAAAAAAAAAAAGAAGAAGAAGAAGAAGAACCGACATGCACTGCTTCGGTCTGCGCATGAACTCGAACACACCTATTGGTACCACAACATAATCGCTGTACCACCTGACCACTGCAGATTAATTTTGCAGTTGATAGTATCGCCATAGAAACGCACAATCCTCTTGTAATTAGGCTAACTTACGTATTATGGCATGGCGTGAATGCAGCATTCAGCTCATCCAACCCCAAACACACCTGAACAAGCTAATCAAGGCATTCCAGATTACTAGAAAGCTACAGGCAGGTGAGTTTGATCAGGGTTGAAATTGACCTGATCTCCTTGGATCTTTAAAACCCCATTTTACAGAGGCCGATATTGCAGCAGCATGTATTCGTTTTAGTTTGCGCTTCGCGGTCTGCTCCTCCTGACGCACCTATTCAGGGCATTTTCTAGCAGAGATCGTTGTGAGATCGCAGGTCGGAAGGATGACAGATCGAGTGTATTTCTCGTTGTTTGCTGTTTTATCGTGTCTGTTCGGATACTTGAGCATAACTCACGCTATTCTAAGACAAACCACAGGTGAGAAGATCTGTTGACTTCATTACACAGCCTGAAGAAATGCAGAAATAAGTGACTCTCAGTCTTTGAAAGTAATTAACAGTTTAGGAATGAGTAGTAGGTTTTAAAACACTTTTGATTTGAAGCAGACAAATATGTAAAATTTGTATTTAGGTTTGAGACTCATTGCGAAACCCCTGATTTACAAATACTAAAACTGCGCTCCCTGGCCTCCCCTAATGATCCTCTTGTATCCTTTAGTGGACGGTTTATGTTCGGCGCAGCTGACGGTCGTGCCGTCCCATCGAGGATGTTCTTCTGATAAAGACTGCCCTGGAGGACTCAAATGCTGTCGATTTGACTGTGGGCCTGTTTGCGTGCCGCCTGTTTTCAGTGAGTTTCAGTTAATAATGGACGCTAAGGGTCCAAAAACACAACACAAACACGAGTAACGCATTGAATTCAATGTAAGCTTTAATCAGAGACTTTGCCTTTCGTTCTCATCTAAAGTAGGTTTGAATTCATCCCTTAGGATCGTTTTAAGCACAGGATGGCTTTACAAAATAAAGAGGAATAATACTTAGAATATAATTCACTCTGTAGGTAACACTTGCTATTCCAACCACTGGCTTCCCAAGACTGAACTTCCAACCAATCAGCAACCTCGGGAAACCTTTCGGCAACCAGACAAGGAAGGGAACCCCTTTCACGGGCAAGCAAGTACCTCCAGATTCTAGCTGAACTGGTGCACTTAATATAATTTTAACCTCATTGAGGAACTCAATGCGAGGGTTAATTAAGTGATTGATGGTTGTTCATGTCTATGCAATTGCACATATTGCTGTAAACTTGGGATTTCACATTTTCACTCTCTTAAACTAATTATTTCCTCACTTTCTCTCTTTCTGCAACTTGTGTGAATGCGTGTGTTCATGTGTTAGATTAGTTTACATGTCTTAGATTTATCCAATAAAGCCTTATTTATATTGAAAAGAGAAGTATCTTGTGTTTTGTGCTTACAAGTTAATGTCTTAAACTGCCGATTTTGTTACTGTACTAATAATTCTCTAAAGTAGGTTTGAAATCATCCCTTTGGATAGTTTTAAGCACAGGATGGCTTTACAAAATAAAGAGGAATAATACTTAGAATATAATTCACTCTGTAGGTAACACTTGCTATTCATGCTTTGAGTGTTTTGTGCTGTATATTGAAGTGGCTGTAGGGTATCAGACCGAATCAGACAATTTAAGATTCGAGCAAGGAAATGGTTAAAACACGAGGAGCCGAATTCCACAGAAAGGCAGAAGACAACAGGATGTTCATAAATCAGATCCTAGCACTAGCCAGCCTGAAGCAAGCCTAACCAACTCTTTCACAGAACAGCTTTCAACATTAACACAAAAGGAACACACTGATCATAACAACTCAGGAAGGAGACTGTCAATTTTAGGGCAAGTAATCAAGATTAAATGGTCAAAGAGATGACAGCATGACCATCATGTGATAGTAACCACAATCACGAGCTCTGTGGATTGACTTTCCCCCCACCTAGGAGACAAAGAACAGACTTTCAGAGATTCCTTACAGACCTCTTAATCTCTGGTCTTCATACATTCACATACATTCACAGAATGGCACAGAAACTGCCTTTCCATGCACCTAAATGACACTAAAAGGTCTTGTGAGCAACTAATCATTTATATGCATAACCCCATATTATGTATGTAACCCACACATCAGACTATCACGTTTTAATCATTTATTGTGTATGTATTTTTAATAACTATTGAATAGTTTATAGGATTATATTCATGTTGGGTATGTATGTGTTTGAATAAATGATTTTAAGATCATATCTCTCATTTTAGAAGAATATTTCAAATGGCTCTTAGAGGCTTTTGCATCTGAACTCTTCATATGAAGCAGTAATAAATGTACACTATTTGAACATTTTATTTTAAAATGTGCACATTCACTCTTATTCGTATGTCTAATAGTCGAAAGCGCAAACGTCTCGTCACGTTCATTTATGATTTACATGAATCATGATCGCATATTTTCAATTAAAAACGGCGAAATTTCATAAGTTGAGTTTGCATCACTAGATAGTCTATTACTGTTGGTCGCTGAACATTTCTATCGTAAAACTGTTTCTAATACAGTACTACTGTTTTTACATCTTTCCACGAACTCTCATTGCGTTGTGACAGTCTTTGATTTGATTGGCCATCTCGATCATTTTTGACATTGACGAGCGCTGTTGGACCATTGAGGCAGACCAGCCTAAAAGTTTAACTTTTAAAACTTTGTCATCCTAACAACAAACAGCTTTACTCTTTCTTATACACAGAGTCTTATACGGTCTATCAGCTATGACTATTTTAGTCTTTCAAATGACAAAATGGGTGGAAAAACAGCAATAAAAATGACAAAAACGACCTAAAATGCAGGGAGCATGGCCCTCTAGAGGCGCGAGGCCGTGGGCGGTCGCACACTTGGCACAGTCCTTGCGACGGTACTGATGCTTTGGGTGTCACAGATGGACAGAGAGAATAAAATGGCTGAGGACAAATGCTGACTCTTCAAAATCCCCAGTGGGCGGCATTCTTCAAAATTGCTACATGCAATAAAATCAAGGAGCCCCATGTTCAAATACCAGGGGATACATTTGATTGCATTTAACTACAACAACAGGTCCATAAGTTGATCAGCCCACCGGGAAAAGTCATGGTGTTCCTTGTGGCTAGTCCATCCCTGAATGGGAATGGAACAAGCTGATGCAAGACTAAACTACCCTAAATTGGTTCAGTACATCAGCCATCTTGGCCAGTTAAAAAAAAAAAAAAAAATGAGATTAAAAGTGCTAATCTGAAACCTATCTTGTTGAGTTTGTCCAACTCGTGTGTCTGTTTCTGCCTCCACCCACTGATGGATGTCGTGACCAGATGACACCCACTGTGACTCCATCAGTTCTCTCGCACCCCACTCCACTCTCAGCCGCCACTCTATCATGAACAGATCCCTTCATTTGTCGCCTAAGCATTTTGAGCCCAATTGCTGCTATCAGACGCTGTCCATGGTGCTGATACTGGCAGACTGAAATTGAGAATGACAATTGTAATCGCTAGTGCATAATCACATCCATCCAGCATGGAATGTCAGCAGACGAATATCATTAGTATCATGTCACAACAAATCATCTTCTTTCAACACCAGGGAACAGGATACAAATAAGAAAGGTCATGGACTGTAATTGGAAATACCTGCTTTTGAGGATCAGATCCCTACTTCTCTAGACCGAGAGATGACACTGAAGTCATAAGGGCAAACTCAAGAAGTGAGAACTGCAATTAAACATCCTTCTGCAGAGTCTGACTGGTGAGCGGATTATGTATTCCCCAATACTTTCTCAAGTTATCAGATCCTGACTGACATAGAACTGCAAACCATTCAACTTTGTCTCAAATGAAAAGTAAGTGTAGTGAGTTGGATTTTCATGACTACTGATTTTTACAAGTCGACTATGATTGGTCACTCAGAAAAGTAGTCAAGTAGGTGCAAAAATAGTGTCAAGCTCTCACTCACTTGTCAGCTTATGGGCGACATTCGGTTAATTTCAGGATTCTTGCTGTTATGTGACATTTGCAAAACAAAATTAATATTCAACTTGTCAGTGCAACCCCTTGAACAGGGGTAATCAGCTTGGTCCTGGGTAGTTTTGCTGCAACCCTAATCAAACACACCTGCACAAGCTAAGCAAAGTCTAAGGGTTGTGGCTCTTCAGGACTGAAGTTGGCCACCCCTGCCCTAGAAAAAATACAAACTTTACAGGTAAGAATGACAACATGTATTTTTTGACCTTTATAAAGACAAAAATATGCAGACCAGACAGTTGTTTGTCTACAATAAATCTTTTGGAAAGACATATTCTCATCGTCACAACCTAGTTTTCCTTCTTGTAAAGTTAAATATTACATGCAAATATTTAATTCTTCTAAAGGTAAATATTACATGTTCCCTAACTCACATCCATTATAATCATCATATCTTGGTTCCTGGGCAGACTAGGTGTTGGAATTCCCAGGTAATAAAGAAATGCACTTAAGTTGTACTAATATCGATGCGCTTATTATATTTTTATTATACTAATACTAAGTGCATAATAAATGCTTTATTTTGGAAGTGCTCTTTAAGATATGCCTGAAAATGACTAAACCAAACAAAGAAACAGGACATTTCAAATGTCACCATCGCTGTCTTCAAGTGGAGGATCACTTTTCTTTGAGTATGACTTGTTGCATTTTCTGCATCTGAGGGCTTGCCATTCAGACACCATGGTCTTTGAAAACTACACTGCAGTGTCTGTGAAAGGAAAACAAAAATAATCAGTGGTTTTGAGTGGTGTTTTTGAACATCATATGCATTATAATTAGCATAGATATGCATTAGAATTTCTTTGGATCTTGTTTACACCTGGTCACTTCATGTGGTAACACTTTATTTCGATAGTCCACTTTAGACATTCTATTAACAGTAAGTAACTTTGCAACTACATGTCAACTAGCAGTTAGTATAGTATTAATAGACTGTCTGCTTAATATCTTCTAACACTTTCTTTGTCAACTTATTCTACTAACCCTAAACCTACCCTAACAGTCTACTCTGAGAGTTAGTAGACATGTAGATGCAAATTAATGAGAATTAGTTGACATGTAGTTGACATGTAGTTACAAAGTTACTTATAGTTAGTAGAATCTCTAAAGTGGACTATCGAAATAAAGTGTAACCATTCATTTTTCACATCAACTTTTCTCTGGGGTAAACAGGCCCTTTGACTGTTCGCAGTTTACCTTTCAAAGCTTGAACTAAATCCTCATCAAGCTTGACACGAGAGTCCTTTTTTATCTTCTTGTCTGTCGTCACCAACAATACTCTGTTACATTGAAAATAACGTTAGAAGAGGCCCAACATCTCTACAACAGAAGTGCTGAATCCAAAGTTAGCATGACTCTCAGAGCCCCAATATTCACTTTATTAGGAAATATGTCAGCCAGAATTAAACCTGTGAGATTCATTGATATGAGATTAAAACATACTTACCACTCTCTTAATCTGATTTCAATTAGTCTTCTATTGCAACAGCAGCTGATTTGAAAACATCAAATTTTAACTTAATATTTCACAATGAAATACTCATTTATATTTAACATTATTTACTTCATTACAATTGTTACAATTAAAAATAGTTGAGGAAAAAAACACAACTTCATTTTAATTAAAAAAAAGCTTGTTAATTGTGTACATGCTATAACGACAAATTATTCTTTCTGCCAATACATTG